GTGTAAGTAAGCAAAGGTAAGCAAACAAAAGACTTTCAACACATTTTTAGACACAGATGGACGGGATTTCGCTACGAAGCACCAAAACTTTGGGAGAGGGGAGATTCCAAAAATATCTTTGGCTACTGAATCATTCAAAGATTTTACAAATTCGTCAGCATATTGTCTTTTTCTAGCGGAAAAAGGACGGATAGTCAGCAAATGTCTGATCATAAAAAGGCCTCTCTATGGAGAGACTCGAAGGCATCTCGAAGTGGTGCAATGGTTAACAACCTTGTCTCGCTAGAAGCATTATAACTGAGTAGTGAGTTGAATTCTCACTGGGTGCCCCATACTTTAGGCCTTGTGCCACATCTAAGCTGAGCTTAGAAAATCATTTAGTGATTTAATGGCTAGCAATCTTGTCTCGCTAGAACAATTACAACTGAGATCAATCATCAGTGGGTGCTCCATACTTTTGACCTTGTGCCATATCTAATCTGCGCTTAGAAAATCACCTTTTGGGGGCTCCCCCCACCCCGGATTTTTCTGGAGGAATTGGCAGCGGAGTAGAAGTAGATTTTCCCGTCGGGATGAATGCTACAGATGTAGTATTTGTTCCGTGCCGGAGGGCTTCTCCCCACCTTGCTTTCCCCACACCGTTACGTGACATCGGTGTTTACTCGTTCCCCCACCAGAACGAGATGTGACACAGGGTCTTTTTAAAGTGGGGGACCCGACGCGTACACTCGGGCAAGGGACAAAAATCCCCCTCAGCCCCCGCAACCGTCGGTGGCGCTGGCCTCGATGCGAGCACTGATCCCTCCCTCTTGTGCAATGGGAGGGCGCGGCCTCGGGCAGCTGTTCCCCGGGGCTGGGCACCACTTCAGTATTATTTTCCTCAGTTGCCCCTCTGTCAGAGAAGCCCCTGAGCGCACTCTGCCCAAAGACAGAGACGCAAATGAGAGATGATAAGCCATGCATTAGAAATCCCTTCTACGCTATACAATCGCAAGATTATTTCCTCTTGGACATTTGTGGCTAGTTAAGACGTCTCTTGACTGGTGCAGGCTGTTTGGATAATTATCTTATGGTGAAAGATATTTATAATTTTATATTAGTTTGAAGAATAATACTAAGGAATTGTTATTTCAAAATGTCACCAATTACAAATTTATGGGTATGGATGCACATAACATATCAAAAGATATTAAAAAAAAAGTAACTTGTAATGGCAACATCTATCCTACTAACAAGAATATAACAATTGTAGTTTGTCGCCTTGAACCAGAACCTGACTGGGGTTTAAGTGCCGCTTTTTAGATAATAGCTGTGGTTGAATCCAGAAAATATAGCATGATCGAGAAATGATTTGGTTATCAATAAATCATGGACGACGAATAATAGATGAAGAACTCAGTCTGGTTTATTCATATGCTTTGACAATGAGACTGGACGGCTGATACTATACTTTTGTTTGTTTTGTTTTATTTTACGGTATATCAACCTCAATGGGTTATTTAATGCCGACGAAAAAGTTCTTCAGTAATAGTTATCTGGTCTAATATTAATACAAACATTTTACGTGAATAGATCAAATTAATATGAAGCCTGCGCTACGCCGTATTTACTCTGTCCCCACTCTTGGATGAGATGTGACACAAGGTCTATTTTTAGGTGGGGCCCCGAGCGCGTACGCCCGCGACAGGAACAAAAATTCCCCTCAGCCCCTGCAACTGTTGGTTGTGCTGGCCTCGGTACAAGCACCAATCCCTCCCTCTTGTACACCTCTTCAGTATTATTTTCTCAGTTGCCCCTCTGTCCTTTGACAGAGAAGCCTCTGAGCGTACTCTGTCCAAAGACAGAGACGCAACTGAGAGATGATAAGCCCTGCGTTAGAAATCACTCCTGACATCTGTTACGTAGCAGTGGTATGACCGGTTATGACAAACTTAGACCAACGGAAACACTCGGGTCCCCACGTTAAAAACCGACCTTGTGTCACAACCTTTGGGGTGGGGAGATTGTAAGTAAAATCTTGAGCACGTGAAACTCGACAGCATGTCCATGATAGTTTTCAGACGTACCCTCCAGGATTACGTGTAACCCGGTTTGAAAAGCTCTGTGTTAGAGGATTTAGAAAATAATTTCATAATTTGGAATTATGTACTATAGCGAAGCATATTTGACATAGACGAATCGAGAACATTTGGTCGAAGATTTAGATTGAGTTGCTATTTGTTAGCGATACGTGCGTATGTCTGCATGTGTCTGTGTGTGTGGCTCTGAGTGAGTGGGGCCGTGCATACGTGTGAATGGAGATTTTTTTTATTTGGCAGTGCTTAACTGTAATTGTTAAATATCGTAACAAAAAATCAGACCAAACTGAAATTAAATGGAAAAGGCAGTGGATATTAAATGATTGTTATCTCTTCCGTGAGATCGGCCCAAGACAATTATAAAAAATAAAACTGTTACCAGATTTCTTTTTAAAGGTTTCTTTTCCAGAATTAAAAAAAAAATTAAAAAGCCCAAAAGCGACAAAATTATCAGCCTGCCAAAAACTAAAATCCTTTTTTTCTGCCATTTTATCCTTAAATTTAAAACAAGTCCTCATGATATTTAACATATTGTGAATATAAAAAGCCTCTTTTTAATTTCTCTTGAGTACCAAATACAAGTACCGGGACGCTTAATACATTTTCTTTTTATCATTTGCATACGGACTACTGTCTTCATCTTTCTTTGTTGCTATCAAAACATGGCCGCCGTCCTGGGTAAGACGATAAACTACATCCACGTCCTAGGCAAGACGATAAACTATATTCAGCAGCAAAGCCTCTGACCAGGAGGTTTTTGAAGAGCGTGGAATCACCTCTTAATTGCTGGTGTTTCCAGGTTCAACCTGACGCGGGGTTGTAGCTCCTGTCAGGGTCCCAGCTATGGGAAAATAGTTAACCCCAAATTTGTGGTCAAAATATTATGAAAGTATAAAAATAGGTTTTAATACCAGCAATATTTTGGGGGAAATTTTTTTACCAGCAATACATTTTTGAAATAAAAATATTACCAGCAATAAAAATCATGTCGGCATTAAATAACCCTTTGAAGTCGATATACCCCTTCGTAGCCGCTTCGTTAAATCACGCAAATCTAATAAACGGTTTTTCATGAAAAGCGGGCGGAGGCTCGAATCCTGCCGGAGGAGGTATTTACTTTAATAAAATTTCTCGAATGTCCAGGCCGGTAGACGAAATAAAATACTATTTACAATAAACAGAGCGTATACTCAGATATGGGTAGTCACTAAAACTAACGTTTAAGTAAAAACATCCCCAGTGTGTAGCGGACACTTCAGTCTGTCTCTTTTGCTGACAACCATGCATTCTTTGCACTATATGTACTGAATTGGAACGTGAAAATTTGGGGTTTACTGTCATCACACGAACTTTTGGTATTATAGTTATGAATAACGGTTTATTTTGTTTTACGGCATATCAACCTCAATGGGTTATTTAATGCCGACAAGATTTTTAGGATAGATTCGTATGAATAGATTATGTATTATTTGTAAGAAGTCAGTTTGTAGAACAGGTTTCATTCACGTCATTTTGTGAATAGGGTTTTGTTAAGAGTTAATTGAATTATTGGTAATATTTTTCTTTTTCAAAAATGTATTGCTGGTAATATTTTTTTCGAAAAAATCGATTGAGCCACAGAGGAGCGTTCGGTTAGAAATCGGTAAAAGCACGTCAGGCTATATGACGGTTCCGTATAGAATACAGGTTCGATTCCTGTCGGAGGACGCATATTTTCTATGAAAATTTCTCGGACATTCAGGCCGGTAAATGTTGTTAATACTGTTTATTACAAACAGAGGATTTACTATATATTTGTATCTATAAAAAGAATGTCTAAACATAAAATATGTCTTAAAATAACTGTCGGACTTTGTTCATTTCATAATGTGTGACGTCATTTGTTTACATTTGATACGCCATGAGCAGATATGAATGTACATGAGAGATTCATGGAAGCTTGAAGTTTGAATACAGTAAAATTGATCCCTCTAACCGAAGCGCTCATCTGTGGCGAAATTGATAAAAGTACGTCAGGCTATATGCCCGTTCCGTATAGGATACAGGTTCGATTCCTGTCGGTGGACGCATGTTTTCTATGAAAATTTCTCGGACATTCGGGCTAGTAAATTTTGTTAATACTGCTTATTATAAACAAAGCATTTAGTTAAATATTTGTATCTATAAAAATGAATGTATAAACGTAAAAATGTCTTAAAATAATTGTCGGGCTTTGTCTATTTCATAATATATATATATAAATTGTAAAAATATAAATGCTGGTATTTTCACTATAAAAATCTATTTTTATACTTTCATAGTGTTTTGCCGCAGTTTTGGAGTTATCTAGTTGCCCATAGCTAACACCTAACCGGTGCTACCATTCGTAGCCAGGATGGATCTGGGAACAACAGAAATTAAAAGGTAGTTTCATCCTCGTCAAAACCTCCCTATCTTGCTGCCGGATGTAGTTTATCGTCATACCCAGGGCGGGTTATTATTATTAATGATAAGAATTTAGACAGTAATGACGGAGAAAATCCTCATATATTCATCGGATTTTACACTCTCTCTCGTCCGCATATTTTTTTTTTTTTTTTATATTTAACTCTCAATTGATAAAAATAAATATCTGAAGTTTTAAAACGAAAATTCTTTAGACATAAAACCCCACAAGACGTTTTGATATGAAAACTTAAACTCGAAGACAGTAAACATTTGTCAAAGCTGGAAGTGAATTACATTCCTCTGAATGTCGGTGGTCCCATCTTATCACCAAAATGGCAAACGTAAAGCGATTAACGTAGAAACGAAACGAACCCTGTCTGTGACAGACACATTCAGTTTTTCTTGTTGTTCATTCGCACGCTCAATGTGTCGGTGATGGGGTTAGACCGCAATCTGGTGCGGCCATTAGGGATCCTTATAAGGAACTCGACACCGATGCGGTGGGGGCCTAAACTAGTCCCGAGAGGCGAAATGTTAATAGGCAGATATCAACAACCCGACCTCCCCCTTCTCTCAGCGAGAAGAGAGCGACGTCAGACGTGAAGAAAACAATCGATTCGGTTATTTTAAAGTGTTGTACTTTAGACATAACGTAGAACGGTCTTATTTTCACACAATACTCCTAAAAACATTTAAATACAGCCAAACCCACATGTACACACATATACGTGGAAGTGCTGAAACTTTCTAAACCTTACCCACGAGCCAGAATAGTTATTTCGTCACTCTATCTAGAAAAATATTCGTTTTTCTTGTAAAAGTAGAAATTTGCCGGATTGTTTCAATTATTTTTCAATTTCTTTCAGATTATTGACTGAAGAAAGTCAATGGAAATTTAAATATTTTAAAAGGAGTACAAAATTTAGTGTAAGCTATTAAAAAAAAAACATGTTAAAAAACAGTAAAAATAACAAAAAAGGGAGTTAAAAAAAATTATATCAGATTTGAACACTCTCTCTATATCTCTGAGATGAGGTATTACGATTACTTGCATTATTTACATTACTCGGACCGTTATCCTCATCTCCATTGTCATATTCACAACGTTTTATCCGTTGTACGCTCCGGCCTTCTTCAGGTAACTGGAATTTCAAACTGAAGGCTTTATTTCGTCCACCGGGGTAGATTTTTCTAGTTCCACGTGCCATTGCTCTTCCGAATATTGTGGTATTAAAACTCACAACTATTTGAGTCTAGTCACTGTAAGTAATATAAATAATGCAAGTAATCATAATACCTCATCTCAGAGATATAGAGGCCGAAACCTTGTGAATATGGCAAGGAAGATGAGGATAACAGTTCAAGTAATGTAAATAATGCAAGTAATCATAATACCTCATCTCAGAGATATAGAGGCCGAAACCTTGTGAATATGGCAAGGAAGATGAGGATAACAGTCCAAGTAATGTAAATACTGCAAGTAATCATAATACCTCATCTCAAAGATATAGACAGAATGTTCAAATCTGAACCGTCAAAAGATCTTGTTTCTGCAAAAATAAACTTCAAATGGAGGAGGGGGTCTAGATAAGAAAGTATTATATCTATGATATGATTATAGGCATTATTATATCTATGATATCATAACACTGACGAAAGAAAATAGCTGGAAAATCAGCTCTTTATTTTCCGTCCGCGTATTAAGTTGTTATTATATCATGGATATAATAATGCCTAGGAATGACAAAAATTCATTTTCTCAAAGGGATTTTTATACCGCTATGTAATGCACGAAATTATATACAAATATATATATATATATACTTGTCACTATTTTGTCCCAAAATTGAAATTGTAAGATATGAATAAAACAAGCAGAGAAGAAAGGCTACAAGTGAAAGGGTCTTACTTGTAATATCTCCCGAAGATCAGATATTATACGTATATCGAGGTAGTATCTGGGCGTCACTTACCGGCTGTTATATGACCCACGTGACTTCGTCTTAACCAAAAGGAAATAAGCTCCTTTCGCACCCCTACACTCCAAAGGAAACCAATGAGTGAATGATGCGAATATTGGACGATAAATACTCTTCATATTCAATTGAGATGAAATGGGAAGACAATTTCTAATGCGAAGATTTTCAGCATCTCAAATTAAAGAATTACTGTGATATGCGAGGCGTCTCACAGAAAGCTTTGAGTCTATAATTGATGGGTAATTTTTTATGCCGAAGCTGATGGCCAATTCAGCGCTAAAATGTTCGAAAGCCGACAAGAAATCGAATGAAATTCATTTTTAACAATGAACGGATTTTAGTTTTTTTAGTTTGACATATTTTTATCACTCCAAAAGTTATTTTTTTTTAACGGATATCCATATTTGAGTAGACGAACCAGTTTTGTTTATTTATTTAAAACTTTTAAACTGTAGTTTCGGCTAACATGGCCATCATCAGGAGAAAAAAAAATTCTGCTTGCTGGTAGCAGTGAACTACAGAAATGAATGTCTTCATGGAGAAAATGAACTTTTGTTTGTACTTTTCATTTGTTTTTGTTTTTTTTTTATTTTTTAACATGAATTTTGGTCAGTTCTTGTGTGGGTCAAACAGTCTTTTTTAAGTTGTTATTTGAGATAAGAGCTGGATGGATCTATGCTGCTCTGAATTCCCTTGGTCAGTTTGACAGTTTTATTGGTTCCTGGAAAGGGGGTGTGTCTCTGTTAAGTGTGTGTGTTATTTAGTTCTTAGGGAGTGAGTGAGTATGATGCATGTAAGTGTGTATATTAGTATGGGTATGTGTATAAGTATGAGACCTCAACACTTTATATATATATATATATATATATATATATATATATATTCAAAATTATAACATATGCATGTTACAACATAACATCAGCACGACATTATTTTTTGTAGTGATGTTATAATATGCATATTTTATAATTTGAATAAATATTATTTACTCTACTCGGTATTGAGCACTCTTTTAAGAATGGAGTTTTTTGGTTATCGGAATTTTATTCCATTTGTACCAACCCCGTAATTGTACACACACACACACACACACACACACACACATATATATATATATATATATATTATAAATTAATTGATTTAAAATATGTTTTTCCGCTACACAGTTCTAACCTGTTAGAACTGTGTAAAAGGAAAAAAAATATATTTTAAATCAATTAATTATAATAATGCTCTGTAAATTTACATCGAGCACTATTTTGTAAAAAATAAAAATACCTATAAGAACACGGGATTATATATCTTGTTCTTTCTTTTTATTTTTATTATATATATATATATATATATATATATATATAATATGAAAATGGAAACTGAGGACAACACTGACTGTCGACAGTTTCATGCTTGAACGCAATCTTTAGGCCATCTATCTATCTATCTATCTATCTATCTATCTATCTATCTATCTATCTATCTATACTCTCTCCTGTCTCGTTATCTCTGTCCATATCTCGCTTTCTCACACTTTCTCTATTTCTCCCTTACTCTCTCTCTCTCGCTCACACACTCTCTCTCTCTCTATATATATATATATTAGTCCATCTTTTCCCTCTCTCTCTCTATATATATATATATATTAGTCCATCTTTCTCCCTCTCTCTCTATCTCTCTCTCTCTATATATATATATATATATATATATATTTGTGTGTGTATGTATCTGTGTATCTCAGTACATCTTCTCTATCTATCTACCCTTTTCTACATCTATCTAAATATTTTAGTCCATTTTCTATCTTAATACATGCTCAATGGGTATAAAAGTATATGTCCATATATATATATATATATATGTGTGTGTGTATGTATATATATATATATATATATATATATATATATATATATATATATATATATAATTTTATATTTATATTTACATTCACACTATACCTTATATTGAGTACTTTTATCCATAAATATACCATGCCTTAAAACTATATTTTTATTATATATATATATATATATATATATATATATTTGTGTGTGTGTGTGTGTGTGTGTGATAAAATGACAAATTCAGACCTTATTGTAAAGGACCAGTGATTCAAGGTGGCATTGTAACCTGTAGATTATTTCATCCCAGTTTAAATATTTCTCTTTTTCTTACCCAGTAAACTTAACACAAAGAAACTTCACCCTATTTTTATCCAATACAAATCTTTTGTGCAAATGTTAGATTTTATTACACTGCTGTAAACCTCTTCACGTTTATTGATTCTTTCATTGCAGAATTAACGGACATTTCCCATGTTGCGGACATCTCCCAACATTCGGAATTTTCTCACGTTACGGTCATTTCCCACCTTACAGACTTTTCCCATCTTACAGATTTACAGATATTTCCACCACTCTTGCTTGCGTTTTATTTCCCATATTCCTTTAAATGAATTTAATTGATGAAGATTACGAACGATTTATTTATATAAAAACGAACAATTCTCTTGGCTTTTCATGTTGACTAGCCTTGAAGAAATTAAACTGGAAATAATCTTTGTTCAGGTAGCGACTAACAACAGATTACTCTACGGGATATCTCGACTCTCTTGCCCCACCTGTTTATCATAAAACACTTTGAGGCTTGTGTCAGGTGCTACTAAGATCTTTACCCGCCGCTTTTGTTTGATAAGGATTTAGGCCCTTCATTTTGGCTGGTCATTTTCCTTATCTTTTATGTTTTTTGAACTTTTTTTTCTTGTATTCTTATCTATTGAGGACTGGTTCCAGATTTGACGTGAACTGATTTGGTAAAAGGCAGAGACTACATCGCGTGACCGAGACTAAGTGGGTAATGAGAAAAACATGATTGAAAGAAAAAAATCCTGATGATTAAGCGTATCGAGATATATATATATATATGTGTGTGTGTGTGTGTGTGTGTGTGTGTGTGTGTGAGTGTGTATGCTGGTGTGTGTGTGTGTGTATGTGTGTGTGTGTGTAGATATATTATGAAAATCTATGACAAAGTGGGAAAAAATTTCGCGTGAGGCATTTCGTCACTAAACGTGTTTGCTTGTTTCGAAATAAAATGATTTTTGATGTGAGTGCACATATGCACGAGGGAGAGAGGGATTTAATATTTTTTTTAAATAATATGTGATTTGGGTATATCGTGGAACCGATTTAATTCAATTTTTGTTTTTTGTTTTTTCTGTTTTTATCACTCTTCTTATTAAATTGTTAATATATTAAAAAATTGTTCATGATACATAATTATGTAAGGGTATAAGATGACAATTTGAAAAAAAAGTCTTAGTTTTTTGTCGATTTTTTCAAGGCAAATATTAAATCGAAATGTTTTTGTTGTTTTAGTTATATTATAAAATTCAAATTTTAAAAAAAGAGAAACCTTTCTACGTGAGCCTCTTTCTGGTTAATGTAAATTTCCGTTATGCTAAAAGCTTTTTTTTTTCTTTCCTTGTCGACAATATCGTTAAATTGACTGATCAATTCTGTGGACAAGACAAATTGATATAAGATGACAACTGGAAAAAAATCATATTTTTTGACGACGCGTTTCGTCTCCAAACTTTTTCAAGGTAAAAATGAAATCGAAACGTTTTTGTTGTAGCTACATTACACAATTCAAATTTAAAAATCGAAATATAAAGTATATATATATATATATATATATATATATATATATATATATATATATATATATATATATATATACCCAAGTACATGATTGGATGTCCATTTAACCGTAGGTGTTTTGTTCTTTTCTTTTAGATTCCAAAAGTACTTGGATAATGAAGTCATGTACCTATAGTCACTGTTATTAAAAGATTGCATATGCCCCCGCCAACGTTCTTTGAATGTTTTTCATGGTGCTACCAATGTAAAACTTCTTTATTATGTCCATTTAACAGTAGGTGTTTTGTTATTTTACATTCAACATCATCACTTGATAAGACACCGAGGGTGTTGAAAAAAAAAATAAGCTATTTTTGTAGTGATTTCATAACATATTTATGTTATAATTTTTTTTAAATAAATAATATATATATATATATATATATATATATATATATATATATATATATATATAATATATATATATATATATATATATATATATATATATATATATATATATATATATATATATATATATATAATTTATTTATTATAATTTTATCATATAGATAAAACCACTTTACATTTTTATCATATAGACAAAACCATTTTTCGATTCTCACCCGTCGAAGTGCAGTTGAAATGCACTGAAATGCAGTTGCATCATTGTCGTGAGTAAAATGGTTTTATTTATATGATAAAATTATAATAAATAAAATAATTATCGCTCTACTATCGGTATCGAGCCCTCTTTTGGATTAATGCTGTGAACGTTGGAATTTATATATTACTTTCGTTTCTCATCGATATTATATATATATATATATATATATATATATATATATATATATATATATATATAAAGTGGACATATACTTTGCCGTTTAATAATCTTTTTTCTGTTTTTCTTGCTTTCTCGCAAGTTTTTTTTTCACGACCACAGCTCTCTTACGTCGGCTTGCATACCATCTTAATGACACCAGTGCTAAAAAAATTCACCTCATCACAATACACTGTACCACTAGTCACAGGTACAAAGCCTTCCAAATATGAAATATCCTAATCAACAATACTAAAATCCTCTAAAAAAACAAATGCGGAAAACGCTTACAAATGCTTAAAGCCATTATAATTAAAAAACAAAGATCCAACATACATAATTACCATTTAATACTGGCAGAAACATTTCAAACATATTTAATAAATAATCCTCCATAATAATAAATACCACCCCCTCCCAACTGCTAATGAAGTAATCCAGCAACATTGCCTTAATACCCAGAATATTATCTATAAAAATAAAATAATAAACAACCTACATCAAACTGAAACTCTATCCCTTGCAGCTCTCAGCAAGTTCCTTCCCTCTGCACCACCCACAGACCACGTTCTGTCATCTACTTGCTTAAAGTTTTTACACCAATCTAATTCAGTAACCCTCTACATTGAGTGGCTCTTGAGCATTGTAATGGGTGGGAAGTAGTATAAAAATATCAAGAGGGAGGAAATATACTTAGAGCCAATGAAAGCGTGCTGAGGTTCTATGCAATATCTAATCTCGTATCTCGTACTGAATACTGGACAATCTCCTCACAGATGAAAAAGAGATTTGAATGGACAGAGACGTGCTCTTACTGACGAATTCTGAGACTACTTTCGACAGAATATGTGGGCATCGATAACATTTTAAGGAGAATAGAAACTACAAGAAACTTTTCGTCACAATCAGGAAGAGAGAGCTGAAATTTCTGGGATATATAAGGAAAGAGGGCCTGGAAAAATAACAGGGCCTTTTTGTAGGTGAAAATAGAAAATAATCACCCACAAGGACATAAATTTGGCGTACATAGTTATTCATTTGATCAAGCACCAAGGCTTTTTTTCTTTTCTTTTTTATGTGTCGTGTCCCTTCAGGACCTCTGCTTCCCTTCCCAGACCACGTTCTGTCTCTCTCCACCAATATACTAACGAATTTTATCTCCTTCAAAATCAGGAAGCGAGAGCTGAAATTTCTGGGATATATAAGGAAAGAGGGCCTGGAAAATATCTCCCACATTTTCTCTCTCTCTCTCTTTCTTTCCTTCCCTCTCTCCTGTCTTTTCTCCTTCCCTGTCTCCCTGTCTTTCTCTCTTTCTCACAACTCACTCTTTCTTTCTCTCTCTCTTTCTTTATATTCATTGATGATACGCATTGTCCACGAAAATTTCAGCCTTTCCATTTTAATGTTCTGGTGAAACATAATTGCTAATTTAATGCTTTAATTAGTTCTTTGTTAATTGGGTGATTGATTGGTTGCTTGTTTTTATTTATTGGCATATCAGGACTTCTTTCTTTTTCTGTGCCAGGTACTTTCAGATCATAGATTATCATGCCTCTGCACCCCCATCTATCCCTTGCAACTCTCAACAAGCTCTCGGCCACCTTCCACAGACCACGTTCTGTCACCCACTTACTTAAAGCGTTTACACTAATCTACTGACGAATTCTGAGAGTATCTTCGACAGAACATATGAACCTCGATAACATTTTAAGGAGAATGGAAACTACAAAATCTTTTAGTCACAATCAGGAAGAGAGAGCTGAAATTTCTGGCATATATAATAAGGAAAGAATGCTTGGAAAATGTAACACTCAAAGGACGTATTGAATATGCTTGCAACTTTGTGTAGGTGAAGAAACTAGCGTAGAAAATAAGTCATCACCCACAAGGCCATGTAAACTTGGCGTACATAGTTCAGTTCATTATTCCCTGAACAAGCACCGAAGGCGAGCAGTCTATAACTTTCCTTTTCTTTTTATATGTCGTGTCCCTTCAGGACGTAGGCGATCATAGCTCTCCACTCCCCCCCTATCCGTTGCAGTTCTCAACAAGTTCCTTCCCTCTGCCACCTCCCCCACGTTCTGTCATCTACCTGCTCAAGCCGGTCAGGTATGTCACGCGTTTTTTTCCCTTGTCTCTCTTTCCCTCTATTCGACCCGTGAGTATCAGATTCTCCAGGCCCTCCGACCTCATTATGTGTCCCAGAAACTACATCTGCCTCTTCCTGATATTAAGTATAAGCTTCCTTCTCGAAGATCTCATCCTCTTGAAGATCTCATCGTTGCTCACATGCTCGGTCCATAATATCCTTAGCATCCTTCTGTAGAACCATATCTCCGTCGCCTCGAGTCTCTTCTTCATCATTGAGGAAATCGTACAACATTCGCTGCCCTAAAGAAGGAGAGATGTCACGTAAAAACTCAGAATTCTTTCTTTTGTTACCAAAAACGGAAAAGTTCTGTAGCCTTTAACAACAAATGCCTCAATAATGACATGCTGCCTATATATATATATATATATATATATATATATATATATATAAATTCCAATAACCAACAAATACTATTCCTAAAAGAGTACTCAATACAGAGTAGAGCAAATATAATTATTTATTCGGAAATTATAACATAATAATGTTATAAAATCACTACAAAAATAGCCATTTTGTTTCAATACTTCTGGTGTCTTATCAAGTGATGGTGTTGAATGTATAATAAAGGGTTTTAAAAGGTTCAAATCAATCAAACACCCCTCGAAAGGGGAAACGCTGTTACATAAGCTGGAATGACCAATCAAAATACAAGTATATGAGAATTCAAAAAACTTGACGAGTTTCTTCTTTAAATAATTTTATAATTTTAAATTAATATAGATTAAATTAGAAATTTAAAATTGGTAATTTTTATTTTAAATTTTATAGTATAATTTAATATCTATTGTTCAGAATAAATTCTATTTTAGTCTAACCCCAACATTAAAGCATTAAATAATTATTATAACCTTAGTCCGTTGTCAAGTTTCTGACCGGCTTGGACAAGCTATGACCAGATATGACCAGCTATGACTAGCTTAGACGAGCTCTGACCGGTTTGGACAAGCACCAGATATGACCAGCTATGACCAGCTTAGACGAGCTTGGTTTGGACAAGCTATGACCAGATAAGACCAGCTATGACTAGCTTAGACGAGCTCTGACCTGATTGGACAAGCTATGGCTAGCTATGATTAGCTTAGACTAGCTCTGACCGGCTTGGACAAGCTATGACCAGATATGACCAGCTATGACTAGCTTAGACTAGCTCTGACCGGCTTGGACAAGCTATGACCAGATATAACCAGCTATGACTAGCTTAGACGAGCTCTGACCTGCTTGGACAAGCTATGGCTAGCTATGATTAGCTTAGACGAGCTCTGTCCGGCTTGGACAAGCTATGACCAGATATGACCAGCTATGACTAGCTTAGACCAGCTCTGACCGGCTTGGACAAACTATGACCAGCTATGACTAGCTTAGACGAGCTCTGACCGGCTTGGACAAGCTTTGACCTGCTATGACTAGCTTAGACGAGCTCTGACCAGCTATGAGTGGCTTAGGCAAGCTCTGACCGGCTTGGACAAGCTATGACCAGCTATGACTAGCTTAGACGAGCTCTGACGAGCTTGGACAAGCTATGACCAGCTTAGACCATCGGCCCGAGTGGAAACACATGGGTCCCCACGTTAAACTCGAGCCTGTGTCACAACCTGACTCAGTGATGGTGTTGCAGGTGTGGGGTCAGGTAAATCTCTACATTACACATTCTTGTACCTGGCCGGACTCGATAACACTTTCATACGAAATGTTCGCCTAATGGACTGATATTCTTATCTGCCATCAAATTCAGTAGAATCTTGTTAATCTCTGGATACTGTTCATTCTTCCACTTCTATGTACCAGGCCTCTTCAGCATACCGGGCGACCACGGCTCTCCACAATTTCCTGTGCTTTGTACCTCTTAGTAAATTTCTTTCTACCATAAATTCTAAACCCTGTTCTGTCAAACATTTACGCAAGAACGTAAAATAAATTATGCTCTGCTTTCCTTTGTCCTTCTTATTTTCAGGATGTCCTGTGAGTGTCAAATTTTCCAAGCCCTCTTTCCACATTATGTACCCTTGAAATTTCAACTGTCTCTTTCTGATGTTAAGTATAAGTGTACTTTTGGTTTCCATTTTCTCTAAAAATTCGTCGTTGCTCATACGTTCGGCCAATGGTATTCCCAGCATCCTTCTGTAGAACCACATTTCTGTTGCTTCATCTGTGAGGATATTGTCCCGCATTCGCTGCCATACAGAAGGACCGATATTAGGTAACAGTTCAGTGCCCTTTTCTTTGTTTCTAACGAACATCATCGCTATTTCTGAAAAGAAAAACGCGGAGATCTAAACATACCTCAGACTGATAAGGAAACAATACACTATACACTATATCCCTAAGATATGTACACTTACAGAGCAAACAGCGATAGGAATATTGTGCTACTGTCATTTTTACGAATGTCGTTCTTTTGACATCGAATACTGAACACCGTGCCGATGAAAAATAGTCAACACTATCAATACTTAAACATGTTCAAGGTTGCGTGTATAGAATGTTTATCGTCAGTTTTCTAAAGCTTAGAATTGACCGGAAGTTTCTCTATGATTCTTTTAAAATGGAACTAAAAAATGTCTTCAGATATTCTTTCAAAGTTCTTTTATTTTAGATTTCAGTTGGATTTCATTCATGTTAACGGTTCCGCTTGAATAGAGAAAAAATAGACACACTGGTTCATGACTAAAGAACAGATAGAGTTTTTAATAAATATCAAAGCATTTACTGTATAAAGTGATCTTTAATTTTCAATGTTGGAATGCATATTTATGTATATGGGTTAGTAGGTAAAGAAGTGGGTATGTAGGACATTTTCATGAATTTACCGCCTGTGAAAGAACCTATCTTGTTTCTATGCTTATATATTAGGTTAATGAAAACCTGACAAAATCTTTTGAAAGAATTACTGATTTCTTGTTAAATTAGGTTAACACATCGTCTGCCAACTACAAAATAACTAGGAGTTGGTAGTTTTTTTTTAATATGACACCGACTACAAGTTATCTCGTGTCGACTACGAGCTATGTTTTACTGACTGCGACTTATCTAGTGTCGAATACGAGTTATCTTATGTTTATTACGAGTCATCGCGTGTCGACAACGAGTTATTTTGCGTCGACAAGTTATTTCGTGTCGACTACGAGTTATTTTGCGTCGACTACAAGTTATTTTGCGTCGAGTACAAGTTATTTCGTGTCGACTACGAGTTATTTCGTGTCGACTACGAGTTATTTTGCGTCGGCTACAAGTTATTTCCTGTCGACTACGAGTTATTTCGTGTCGACTACGAGTTATTTTGCGTCGACTACAAGTTATTTCGTGTCGACTACGAGTTATTTTGCGTCGACTACAAGTTATTTCCTGTCGACTACGAGTTATTTCGTGTCGACTACGAGTTATTTTGCGTCGACTACAAGTTATTTCGTGTCGACTACGAGTTATTTTGCGTCGACTACAAGTTATTTCGTGTCGACTACGAGTTATTTTGTGTCGACTACGAGTTATCTCGTGTCGAATACGAGTTATCTCATGTTTATAACGAGTTATCTCGTGTTGACTACGCGTTATCTCGTGTCGATTGTGAGCTTTATCTAATTATCTTGTTTTGACTACTATTTTATCCGCACTGATACTTTCAATATGAAAACAACGTTAAAACTTCAGTTGAGGCTATAAATAAACACTTAAAATTATTTTATTGCCTAAGTTGGCTATTATAAAGTTGGCATTCCAGGTCATATTCCTCCATTGACCTCTGGCAGGTCAACTTATTAGATTACTGCACAAGTGAAAATGAATTGGACCTATGCTTATAGAGTATTTTATTATATATCTACTGGTCCTGTAAAACCATTAGGGTCGAAGGTGCATATCATGTACAGTAGCTGTGGCAGCAGCGAGTGTGTCTAAAACAAGATATCCTAATGAACCTATCCCTCTTTAAGCACGTTTTGAATTAATTGTCATGATCCTAAAATGTTTGACACTGTGTCCTGCTATTTAACCTATAAATCGAGAGAGAAGAGACGAAGTCATGCATTTCCCAAGGGGTATTCGTGAGAAAGTGAACGCAACTAATGCGGAATTTGATCTCCGCTCGCCAATTCCACTTCCCGCTTACGGTCACATCACGTTGAAACACCGAACGATCACCGTGGTTAAGCTACACCCGATCTGGTAAATACCCAGATGGGTTAGCCCCTTAAGAATACCAGGTGTTGTAAGTTTGGGTGTGCAGGTGGTGTAATGGATGACGGCTGTATTGTTAATCGGAGAACCGAGTTTCAATTCCTGTTAGGTTCGTTATATGTTCACTTACGAGTATATATTCCTGGGAAAGGCATGAATCCACCTTCCCACTGGTTATGGGTTAATTAGTAAAACTTGTATCACTAAACCATTATTATCTAAAAAAAGAATAATTTTTTAAACCTAAAAATATTTTCTGGCTTTAAATAACCTTCAAAGTTTTGATAATCCGTAGAAAACAAATCAATCAATTATTCCACTTCTGTGCTGATATCCTTTACACTACCCACTCAAATTTTATTAATATTTCAAATGAAATTAATTTTGTAATTAGAGCTCATTTGTTGGTGTGAAGCAACACTTGTAAATACGATACCTTTTATTAATTCTTCAGCTGACGATGTCTCTGAGAAATTCTCTGATAAATGTCGAAACGTTCCTTCCTTGGACCAAAATGGTTTTGGAGTAAAACTGAATGATTATCGTAATCTAGTATCCCTCTGCATGTCACAATACCGACTTCTGCAAATTCTAGGAAAACTTTTTTCCCGAAACTTTCAGAATAATTTTGATACAAACGGCGAAACATAAGTTAGCAAGAAAATGAAGATTCTGTACAACTTTAAGAGATCCTATGGGAAATCCATCAAAAGGTTTCGTTTACTTTAATTCACCCAATACAGATGGCTGACCGCTTGGGAATACCAGGTGTTGTAAGCTTGAGTGTGCGGTTGGTGTAATGGATAACGACTCAGAATGAGGAATCGAAGTTAAGCAACGTCGAGCCTGGCCAGTACCTAGATGGCTGACCGCTTGGGAATACCAGGTGTTGTAAGCTTGAGGGAAGTTCATTAAATTTATTTACGCGTAAATAAAGCTGGGAAAGGTATGAATCCACATATTCGCCTCCCGCTATGGGTTAATTAGTAAGACAGTTATCACTAAATCATCATTACCCCCCGCCCCAAATTCTCATAATTTAAAAGTATTTTCTGGCTTTAAATAAACTCTAAAGGGTTAATAAACCGTAGCAAACAAATCAATCAATCCGCTCTTCTTTGTTTCGAAGGACATTTTCTGGTCACTTAAGATTGCTTAGTTTCTGGATAAGAAAAACAAAATGGTGGATGGTTCTTTTCCAATATTGAGTTGGTGAAGCTTGTTCTTTATATTCACCTTGAATAAAAGAGAAGAAAAAATAAAGAGAAAAAAAAGAGTCAGGTCAGACATAGGCTTAAAAAACACTCAAGATAGACTGTTACATAGTTTGTTGCAAGGAAAAGAGAATGAAGTGGAAAGAATTGCGTACTATAAAGATATGTCGGATACATATCGGTTGATCCTAGACTTGAAGAGGCTAAAATTGTCGTCGTCAAGGAAACATTCTCTTGGGAGTTGGTTCCACAGTTCTGGAGAAGAAACTATCCGAGTGGAACTTTCTCCTTGACAAAAAATATACGAAATAAATGAAGATGATTTACCACCCTGAACATGTTATGAACGGGTCCCAACTTGAAGATTTTCCATAGTAATAGCGTTAGAGAAGTGAGAAGTTAGCAAAGATTTATCTATGGGATATGTGTTGGAGGGTGGAGAATAATTCATCACCCACAAGGCTGTTTAAATGCTTTTGATAGTGAGGTTTGTGTAAAACCAGCCCAGCAATACTCCATACTTGGTATATTCTTTTTACTGATGTTCACCCAATAAAAGGCCTAAGAGCCGCTCAAGATAGAGGGTTACTGTGTGTTGTTATATTAGTGTAAGAAAGAACAAGAAGTGAAGTTCCTGAAGCTATACATGAAAGACAGCAGCTAACACTGGGCTTGAAGAAGTTAAGATTTAATTAGTGGATAATATTTTAGATTTCAGTCGAAGACTTTAGAAGTATAGTTTGGAGGTAGACTTTAGAATAGGGACCTCCAAAAGATCGCTAAAAATCAGCATACCGTGAAGAAAACATGCTCTAAATGTAATGAAAATAGTTTTATCGTAAAATTCATTGTTATTATTATGAAGAAAGATCTCAAGTAGTTTTTTTATTATTTAATTAAATTTTTTACTGTTTTTAAAACATTCGAAATTTTGGTTGGGGTATTATGTTTCGTTTAAGGTGTATCTTGTGAACAAACATAGATACATACAAGATTAGAGTTTTAATATTGTATAGATAGCTATATTGTCATAATTGTTCTATTTAATTATTAGTTATTGTACCTAATAAGATCTACGCTAAGAACGACTCTTCTCACCATGATATATCAGTGTCTATTGTCATTATTGTTCTATTTTATTATTAGTTATTGTTAATCTCTTAATGAAACTAATAAGATCTACAGTAAGAACGAATCTTCTATCCATCACGTAACTTTCATTAAAGTCTATTGTTATAATTTCTCCATTTTATTATTAGTTATTGTTGTTAGTCTGTTATTATGCCTAATAAGATCTACGCTAAGAACGAATCTTCTGTCTGTCACGTAACTTTTGTTACATTATATTGTTATTATTGTTCTATTTTATTATTATTGTTGTTAATCTCTTAATGAACCTAATAAGATCTACGATAAGAACGAATCTTCTATCAATGACGTAACTTTTATTATAGTCTATTGTTATAATTGATCTATTTTATTATTAGTTATTGTTGTTAATCTCTTATTGTGCCTAATAAGATCTACGATAATGACGAATCTTCTATCCGTCACATAACTTTTATTAAAGTATATTAGGTTCCTCCAGGAGATCGCTAAAACTCAGCATACCGTGATAAAAACATGCTCCAAACGTAATGTAAACTTAATTTTATCGTTAAAATCTTATTGTTATTATTAAGAGGAAGGATCAAAGTATTTTTTCGTTGTTTAATTAAATTTTTAACTCCTTTTTAGAAGATGCGAAATTTTGATTAAAAAACTTGTTTTTCTTGAGTCAGCGGTTGTACTAACTTTTAGCATAGCAAATTTTCGCCTCTTTTTTGCTGTGACAGTCACATTAATTTAGAAATTCTTGCAAAATCAAATAATTGTTGGATTTTGAAGTTTTCGGGTTTTATTTAGAGATTAATAAAATTAGTTTTGTACATTTTATTACAAAATCTTGGTAAAAAAAATTTCTATTTTGCATGTGTTTCCACCACCTTATTAATTTTATAAAATCTTGAGAAATTCATCGAGATAATTTTTAGTGACTGTATTAGTTAAAAGCAGAGTTTTTTGAAGAATTTAAATCACCGATTCTTTTTAGAAAAGCGGGCCCGGTCTTACCGAACATCTGTTCTGAATCGAAAAATAAAAAACGCAATAAAACTGATATTATTTAAATAGAGAAGCTTTTAATTACTTTTATGAGTAACATATATTAAAGACAGCATTATCTGAAGAATAAAAAAAGATCTTTCGATAAAAAATGAACTTTTACAAGATTTTTTTACATTTTTTTTGGGGGGGGGGTTAAAATTTAAAATTGAATAATTTATAAAGTTTTTGAATCTTTTAAAGTTCAGTTTTTGATGAGTCAATTCTTAGGGAATATTGTTACTAAGTAAAACTATATTTACTAATCAAATATTTTAAAGCTTATTACAAGACCACGACTATTTAAAAAAAATAAACCCTAATTTATCGTCTGCTACACCATACTTAACTATAAACACATTCAGCGGTTAATCCGTCGTCAATAAATCGATTAACACATCAAAAGAACAAGACTCCGTGGTTAGGAAATGTTTGCATCGAACACTTTATGCTTTAAGTAAGTAATATTTGTTTCAAATCGGATTAACATTAAATTTGCCAATTCTTCTCAGATAACGTTTCAGAATTATATATTTTATTTCTGTAAGATTTTTAAACCGGAAAATTTGCTTTTGTTTACAAATATCTAAAATTGGCTGACGTTGTCGATTTTAGTGAAAAAAATACAAATTTATTTCAATCAATATAATTTATGTCTGGAAAACACCAAAGTGTATAGTAAATTTAAGACTTTAAGTTTCATTGGAAGCTAAATTGAAATCTTCACGAAAGATTTTTCATTTTTCAAAATTCAATTTAAACCTTATGTATACGCAAATCGTGGAAGTACCTAATTTTAAGTGAATAAGATTTAAAAATACGAGTTGTTTATAAAGTATTTTTATTTAAACTTTCTTCAAACAATTTTTAATGTTGAAATCAACTTCAATGTTTTATAATCTGAACTATCAGTGATCCAACGGATCATGCGTCGTCTAGTATATATATAAAAGTAGTCTAGTACATATATAAAATTTTATGCTTTAAGTAATATTCACCTAACTTTA